GACCAGATATGGAAAGTTGCAGATAAAAGAGAGGAAGACACACTAGCTTTGTTCTGGGGCTTCTTTTCTTCTCGACCCCAGCAACATTTCCCTTCTCCAATCATTTGACAGCAAGATGAACTCTGTTGCAGAAAAACAAGGATGGAAAACAGGAGTCCTAGAGTGATGATGATGACGATGATGATGGTGATGATGATGATGGTGGTGGTGGCAGTGGTGGCCGTGGCAGTAGCAGCAGTGGTAATCATGGCTATATTAATTGTAGTAGACATTTTTCCTAGCACTCGCTATGTGCCCAGCCTGATATGTCTTTTACAGACATGATATCATTTAAATCCTCATGATCATAATCTTCCTTTACAGGTAAGGAAACAGAGGCTGAGGAATGTTAAATAACGCATCAGATTATACAGCTGAAAAACAGCAGAATTGGAAACTACGCATTTTGATGACAAAGTTCATGCTTGTAAAACATAACTGTATTGCCTGTAATTGTTAGGAACAACTATAATTTCCTGGCTGTCTACCACAGTCCAGCACCTCCCCTTCCATCAAGGCATCTAATGCTCAAAACAAGCCCTACGGAGACAGGGTCGGGGGGCGAGGGTGGGTGTGTCCAGGCTGCCCGAGAGAAGACGGACCGATGGCTGCCACGGTGTCCCAGGGGCTGGCTTCCCTGAAGGAATCTTCCTTCTGCTGAATCTATGACCGCTCCATCTCTGTCAGCCTGGGAATCTGGCACAAGTCCTTCATCTGTGTTTGTCTGAGGACAGTGTTCTGACTAATTAAATTGACTCAAGTAATCTTCAAATTCATGAGGAAACAAAATGAAGTATAGGTGACGATGAAGGGACCTAAATTCTAGAACACACAATCTCCAATAAATAATGAATGAATAAATGACCTGAAACATGAGTGAACAAATATATAAACGCATCTTACTGCAATTTGTCCCCCTTCCCTGCTCTGGTAAATAGTAGTACTAATATTTATAGCTGTGACACACCACAACGAAAGTTTTACATGGATTATTCATGTCAGTTTTGTTTACCTAGCTCTCTAGTTTCCATTCCTCAGTCTTTTCTGTGGACATATTTCCTTGCATGTCCCTGTTGGCATTATCTTAACTCATTTCTCACTTTTCCACATCATTTTTTTTTCTCCCTTTTTAACAGTTTAGGAATCCAAACATCTCTGGCTCTTTAGTTTCTGCAGCTTATAAGGTATCTTTCTACAGAAGAAAACTATATTTTTAAAATTAGTAATTCCATAGAGTCTTTCTTAGTTACTTATCAGAGGATTTGGGGGGCTGCGTGTGGAGGGAGTGGGCAGAAGAGGGTCTAACACTAGGGCTCTGTGGATGTTACACAGGCACAGTGGCTATTGATTCTGTACAACATGAAAGATGGAAATGGCTTCTCTTCTCTTCCTCATAGACCATTAGTACTAATAAAAGATGGAATCAGATTCAGAGAGGACAGGCATTTATTTCCCAGAAATATTCTACTTTGGCTGTGATTCCGTAAAATGTGCTGCTGAAATGGCCATGTCAGGAACAGACTCTTCTCCGTTTCTCCTCGTCACAAAGCTAGACATTAGGAAGATGGCCTAATCCGTTTTCAGTCAGAAGATGTTATTTTTATAACCTTCACTTTTGAAGACGCCATTAAGGTGCTACCTGTCTGCATTTCTGAGAAAAATATCGGTGGTAAACCTCACTGAGATGGCCAAACGGTAAACCTCCGAGTGTCTAACACACAATATTGTGCTTTCCTTGAAAACCAATTTTCCGTAATGGGTGTGAGGCTTTGCTATTGAATTTGGAACAGCTGGCTCAGCAGCTCTCCAGGGTTTCACAGTCCCAAGACTGAACCTTCCCCCACTCTCCACCACGGGTCTCTGTGTAGGATCCCAGCAGACATTACCTAGGGAGAAGGAGATGCGCCATCTTTCAACCCAAAGGCCGAGTCTCTGCCCTTGGCACACCTTCCTTGTTCACAACCAGAACTTTCCTCCCTGGCCTCCAAAATCAGATACCGAATCCTGGTAGTTTTTCTAGATTGAACTAGTGTCCTCAGTTCTGGAGTGTAGTCCGTGGAAGTGTGCAGAGCAGGAGATCAGTGAAGAGGACGGAAAGGCCTGAGGAAACCCCTAACAGGATACAAGTCCCATGCACAAGAAGAACACCAGACTGCTCTCTCACCAGCAAAAACAAAGAAAGGGTGGGAACAAATGGGGAAAACTGACAACAAAGGCAAAAGTGTGGTGCAATGTCCAGTTGTCTAAGGGATGTATTTTGCGGAAATACTGTCAACCTAAACCGTATCAGAGACTCAGTATACTGCTCAGTGAAGACAGAGTAACATTAACAGAAGTCAGAGAGAAGGCAGAACTCTCTTGTTCCTATTTTTGCTTCCATGTTTCTCACTAAAGGAAAGCCTTGTAAACTAAAAGCATCAGACAAGCACAGTTTAAAAAAAAGACTTGAAGCCCAGCATATATGGAGATTAAAAAGAAAGTGCTTAGCCTTAAAGTAAGTAAATAAATAAATAAATAAGTGAATGTGCCTTGAAAAAACCATTTTTGTTCAAATGGTCAGGTCAGTCAAGGCAAATAACATCCCATGACCTTAAAACCATTCAGAAATGAGATTGTGAAACGAGGGTCAGGAATCTTTTGGAGACATCACAGAAAATCAGAGCAGGGCTAGAACACTGGAGACAGGTGACCATGGATCTTGGTTTTTCAAAAAGATGGATTTTGGTGAGGTTGTCTTTGCTCTTGGACAGCTTTCTGGACTCTTCTGGAATGCAGTATTAATGAGAGGGCCTAGGGACGTGGTTCCAAAGAGGAGACTGGGTACTCGGGAACACTAACCTCATTCCCTTCTGACATGAGGTTTCTAGACTGAGAAACTGGTCAGTGCCCTCGACACCGTGCACAGGGATCTCATGAGCCATGTGACAGTGTCTGTGCTCCCTCTGTGGAGGGGACAGAGGAAGCTAAATGCAGGACACCACATTATTTGACTGAGCAACAACTCAGTTGGTCAGTGTTGGTCACTTTTCTCCTAGTTCTGTGCTTGCCTTGCTGTGTCCGATATTTTAATCAACAACTTACATACAGATCGAAGGCAACGTTCATCAGATCTGAGGGTTTTGAAGAGGCAGGGGGTAGGGGGTTGGGGGAACCAGGTGGTGGGTATTAGGGAGGGCACGGATTGCATGGAGCACTGGGTGTGGTGCAAGAACAATGAATACTGTTACGCTGAAAAGAAATAAAAAATTAAAAAAAAAATGAAAAATACAACCAAATAAATCACACATTTAATATAAACTAATTTAATAAATTTAATAAACTTTGATATGTAAATATAAAAAAGATTTTCAAATAATAGAATAAAAGTTTAAAAGTATCTTAGCAGAACAGAATGCATATATGAAATTTAATTAGAATCTATAAGTTTCTAAAAGGCAGAAGGGGGAAATACTACTTTAAAGGTCTTAAGATAGGGGCGCCTGGGTGGTTCAGTCATTAAGAGGCTGCCTTTGGCTCAGGTCATGATCCTAGAGTCCTCAGATCAAGCCCCACGTCAGGCTCCCTGCTAAGTGGGAAGCCTGCTTCTCCCTCCCCGACTCCCTCTGCTTGTGTTCCCTCTCTCGCTGTGTCTCTGTCCAATAAATAAATAAAATCTTTTTTAAAAAAGTAAAGTCTGATGCCCTTCAATGGACGAATGGATAAGGAAGATGTGGTCCATATACACTATGGAGTATTATGCCTCCATCAGAAAGGATGAATACCCACCTTTTGTAGCAACATGGACGGGACTGGAAGAGATTATGCTGAGTGAAATAAGTCAAGCAGAGAGAGTCAATTATCATATGGTTTCGCTTATTTGTGGAGCATAACAAATAGCATGGAGGACAAGGGGAGATGGAGAGGAGAAGGGAGTTGAGGGAAATTGGAAGGGGAGGTGAACTATGAGAGACTATGGACTCTGAAAAACAATCTGAGGGTTTTGAAGAGGTGGGGGGTGGGAGGTTGGGGGAACCAGGTGGTGGGTGTTAGAGAGGGCACGGATTGCGTGGAGCACTGGGTGTGGTGCAAAAACAATGAATACTGTTACGCTGAAAAGAAATAAAAAATTAAATAAAAATAAATAAATAAATAAATAAATAAATAAATAAGTAAATTCTTAAGGTATTTCAACTGATGTAAGCTTATGAATCATAATTGATTTTTTCCTAATTCCTGAGTTACGATTTTCTAAGCATTAATATACTTAATAACTGTAGCAACAATAGCCACCATAAAATAAAATTAAATTAAAATAACCCAAATAATAAAATGAAAATAAATATAATCCCAAAGTCATCGTTTCTTTTAGCTAGCTCTAAGTACATAATTAAAAGATTTCTAAAGTCCAACATTTCCGGACCTTCCATTAACACTGCAATTGTATCAAAGTCGCTCATGCAGACGAACTCAATAGGCACACGCTATTGGAACACACGTTACACTGAAATGATCGGGACAACTGATACAGCACCAAGAATGTAATAGTCATGTGGAAAATTCACTTCCCTCTCTGGTTGTCTGCCTCAGTTTCCCCTCCTGGTAAACAGGGGTGGATAATCTTTGCCAACAGTGCTTGAGAGGCATGGATCATAAAGATCAACAAATAGGGGCGCCTGGGTGGCTCAGTGGGTTAAGCCTCTGCCTTTGGCTCAGGTCATGATCTCAGGGTCCTGGGATCAAGCCCCGCATCGGGCTCTCTGCTTAGCAGGGAGCCTGCTTCCCCCTCTCTCTCTGCCTGCATCTCTGCCTGCTTGTGCTCTCTCTCTCTCTCTCTGTCAAATAAATAAATAAAATCCTTAAAAAAAATCGACAAATAAATGTTAAGTCCTTTGGCCTACTTCCTTGGAGGAAAAATGTTCAATCATCTTGATCCTTTTGTTAAAGACACCATTCATTCTACAGTGTAGGGATTTGTTACTCACCCCCAAGCTTCCCCTGGACTGCTTTTTGGAGGGCTCCAGATGGTTCCTTAGGAGTGAAGATGCTCCTTACCATGTCTGGGGTGCAGAAGCCATACTGTGGGCCATGGCCATTAGCAAACTTCCTAAAAGCAAAGAACACAGGGGATCCAGGCTGAAAGTGATGGGTAGAAAGTGCTCAGAAATGAAACTGAGCCTTCTGATTGGTAAAGGCAGAGGTAGGCACAGGCCTGTCAGGAATCCACTGGAAGTGCTGTGATTGCTCACATTAAGATGCTGACAGAAGCTTTCTGGGTAGAGGCTCCATGCAGGCAGTTGGGAGAGGAAGCCCTCAAAGCCAATCCAGGGCATGGCTTCAAGAGCCCAGTTCGGATTCAACCAAGACTACACAGAGATTGTCTGTGTCTATCTTGCTGCCTCTCTCATTCTGCTACTGCTTGGGGGAAAGAAAGAATTTGAATTGGAGGGATTTATTGTAAAGTCTTCTGTACCTAAAGAGAGTCCCAGCTGTTCGACTTTGCCATTTCCCGTTCTGATGTTGGAGGGTTATCTGGTGTTCCATTCACTTTTGGACATTTTTACTAATGCATCTTCAGTAGATGAGTTCAAAAATCCCACACAAAATTGACCTTGAGATTAATGCACCTGTACCTCTGATGATCAGAGGAGTTTCTCGAAGGCAAAAGGACAAAAAGTCTTAAGATAATTCTTCCTTCTGGCCTCTGGCTTGGTGGTCTGCTAGCAACCTTTAGGGCAACCAGTTCCTTATGGTCTGGGAAGGTATTTTTAGAACAGACATAATCCTTGCTCCAAAGGACTTTATAACTCAGTTTAGGGGACATTCAACAAATAAAGTCTTGATTAAAGACTATTATATAACATGTTAAATTCAAATATCTAAATCACACAAGTATTTCTTTTTTTCTGGTAGAATTCATAGCATGGCTATTTACACAGACCAAACATAGAATATGCCTCCTTGTTTTTCTCATTTTATTACAGGAACCAAGATAAAAGTGATCTGTCCCCTTTGTGTGTGCATAGGACCCATGGCCTTCCTGAAGGGAGGATTCCTCCCTGAGGCAATGAGATGGTTCAAGGGGACACAGACGGAGTGTCACTCCTTCAGGACCCCCTCCCCTCACATTTTTACAGAAGTATAACAAGCTTCAAATGATAATATTGAAATCCAGAGAAGTATAAGGAAATTAAGAAAAGGATAAGTTTTGTTCCTATGAAAGGGACAAAAACCTTCACTTGCCATCTTGGTTCTCTAAAACCCTAACAAAGAAGCCCTCTAAATCCATAGTTATTCTGAACTCATTAATATATACTCTTACTTGAACTAGGCAAATCCTGGTTTTGCTGCTTCCTCTACCTTCTGTGGTCGTGACTGCAGCCCGAAAGGCAGAGCAGCAGGTGGACACCAGGCAGGCGGGGACGGAGGAGTGACTTCAGAGTTTGGACAATGAAGCTGAGCATTGCTCTCACTAGAAGAGTAGCTCCCCCCCAAAAAGAAAAAGAAAAGTGTGTTTAGGTGATTATAACAGCGATTTCTTTGACATGAATATAACTAGTTGAGTACATATTATAGCTGAACCGGCACATAAATGATTTTGAATTTGAGTATGGCTCCCTAAAAATAAGTCTTCTATTACTTGGAATTAAGAAAGCCGTTTCCTCCTCCAAACGATCTTGTTAAAAATGTATTTCAGGAATTGAAATGATCTCTATCTATTCCTATGCCCTTTTCAGTTTACTGGTTGTTATGGTTGGTCAAATCATTAACTTGTTACCCTTCAAGCAATCTCAAGGTTACGTGTGATCTTATAAAGATCTGCAGAATATGAGGCAAAGTCAAAGAAGACCACCTTGAAGGCAAGTCATTCAATAACTTCACCTGAGTGTAAGCTCCACGAAGGCAAGTAACTGGTTCCCAGTGCCTAGGACAGGGGAAACGTAAAAATACTGGTGAGAGGAAGAACGAGGATAATTAAGCATTCCTCCAAGGGGTCAGGTCGCTGAATGCATGTGAATTCACTGTACCTCTCAAGGGGAGAACGAGAGAACTTGAGTGTGCCCTGAAAGTGGCCATCTGCCTTCAGGAGGACTATAAGGAAGGTGAAGAACAGGTTTTTAGACTTCTCCTGGGGTCTGTTTCTGCCTTGAGGGGTGTCCTGGGTAGGATCTCTGTTTTTCCTCTAATCAAATCCTGTCCTTCTCTGCTCCCAACCCCCTTATTTTCCCACTTTCCTCTGCTACCCCCATTTCGTTCCTCCCTTAAGCCAAGTTGAACTTCAGTCTCAATGCAGTTCTTAAACAGTGCATACTCTTTCCTTCCCTGGAATAAAGTTTCTTAAAACCAGCAACAAAATCTTCTTTAGTCTGTGAAATGGAACTAAATCATGCAGACACAATGCAGGCAGGTGCATTTTTAGGTGTTAATGTATTTGTTTTTAGATCCTAAAACTAATGCTTATTTAAAAAAATAATAAAAAATACGGAAGTGTATAAAGCAGAAAATGAAAATACTCCTCCTCAATTTTCACTTATCAAAGTTAATGATTACCAGATACCTCCATATGTATACAGAATTTCCCTACGCACATATGTTTACATACACGAATTGTTTTTGATTTCTAAAAGTGAAATCAACTATTCATACTATATCAAATTTTGCTTTTTTTCAAGTTACATAGGCTCTCTGTGCCTCAATTGCCTCACCTGTGGAATGGACAAAGAGGCAGTACCTCTCTTGGGGTTGTTGTGAGGATTAAATCAGCTAATACATGTAAAGTACTTGGAATAGTGCCTGGCACCTAGTAAGTTCTCAATAAATGTTACCCCCCCTTTTAAAAAAAGATTTTATTTATTTATTTGACAGACAAAGATCACAAGTAGGCAGAGAGTCAGGCAGAGAGAGAGGAGGAAGCAGGCTCCCTGCTGAGCAGAGAGCCCGATGTCGGGCTCGATCCCAGGACCCTGAGATCATGACCTGAGGCGAAGGCAGAGGCTTTAACCCACTGAGCCACCCAGGCACCCCTACCCATCCCCTTTTAAAAACATTTTTAACTTAAATTCAAGTCAGCTAACATATAGTGTATTACTAGTTTCAGAGGTAAAAGTTAGTGATTTACCAGTTGCATATATATATACACCCAGTGCCCACCATGTACATCACGTGCCCTCCTTAAGTCCATCACCCAGTTACCCATTCCCCCCACCTTTCTCCCCTCCAGCAACTCTCAGTTGGTTCCCTATAGTTAAGAATCTCTTATGGGGGGGGGGCATCTGGGTGACTCAGATGGTTAAGCCTCTGCCTTCGGCTCGGGTCATGATCCCGGGGTCCTGTGATCAAGTCTTGCATGGGGCTCCCTGCTCGGTGGGGAGCCTGCTTCTCCCTTTCCCTCTGCTGCTCCCCCTGCTTGTGCTCTCTCCCTGTCAAATAAATAAATAAATAAATAATAAAATCTTTAAAAAAGTCATCTCTTATGGTTTGCCTTCCTCTCTGTCTTTATCTTATTTTTCCTTCCCTTCCCCTATGTTCATCTGTTTTGTTTCTTAAATTCCACGTATGAGTGAAGTCATATGGTATTTGTCTTTCTCGGACTGATTGACTTTATTTAGCGTAATAGCCTCTAGTTCCATCCACGTCGTTGCAGATAGCAAGGTTTTGTTTTTTCTTGGTGGCTGCACAGTACTCCACTGTATATGTACACCACATCTTCTTTATCCATTCATCTGTTGATGGACATCTAGGCTTTTTCCATAGTTTGGCTATTGTGGACATTGCTGCTATGAACATTGGGGTATAGGTGCCCCTTTAAATCAGTATTTTTGGAACCTTTGGATTAATGCCCAGTAGTGCAATTGTGGGGTCATAGGGTAGCTCTATTTTCAACTTTTTGAGGAACCTCCATGCTGTTTTCCAGAGTGGCTGCTCCAGCTTGCATTCCCACCAACAGTGTGGGAGGGTTCCCCTTTCTCCACATCCCTGCCAACATGTGTCGTTTCCTGACTTGTTAATTTTGCCATTCTGACTGGTGTGAGGTGGTATCTCATTGTGGTTTTGATTTGTATTTCCTTGATGCTGAGTGATGCGGGTCTGTTGGCCTTTTCATTATTGCTGTAAATGGTCCTCTATAAGCTCACATTCATTTGTTTTCCATTTTCCACTATTACAAACAATGTTGTGATGAAAACTCTTAGGCTTTAATGCGGCCCGAGCAAGTATTTCTGTTGCACAAAATCAGAGAACTGTAATTTCTGGGTTGAAGGGTAAGCATGCTGCGAGGTGAGGTCCAACTCACTCACCTTCCAAAATGTGTGTGCCAACGTGGCAAATCACGGACGAGAGAATGTCTGCTCCCCCACAGCCTACACCAACACTGCATGTTATCCATGCTACCATTTTCAAATATGTGGGCGGACAGTCCATAATTGGCATTTCTTATTTTGAGGTTTTTCCAACTAGCTATACATTTAGTAAATATTTGTATTTATTCTTCTGTCCTTTGACTATTTTCTATTAGGTTTTTGACTTATCAATTTAAAGAACTTAATTATATACAATGAATATTAACCATAATCTGCTATAAATGTCTAGCTTGTTACCTGTCCCTCCGATTTTGAGTATCTTGCTTCCTGGAGGATGGAACTGCAACCTCCCAAGGCTCCTAGCTGGCATTTCTGTAGGCCATTCCATTGCCCTATCAGATGAGCCATGTCTCAATGGTACAGATGTGATAGGACCAGTGGGTTGCGTGTCATACTCTCACCCCATTGCTGGAGTGCAGATGCCTTTGCTTGGCTATAAACTGGTCTGATGCAGTGTTATGTGGGGACCTTACAAGGGTGCACTTAGCACCACACAGGCCCATAGGTAGTGATGGCTCAGGCCATACAGGCAGACAAGGCAAACTTTTAACCAGAATGCATGTCTGTTTCTGTTAAGATAAAACACTGCTCCTTGCAGAGTGGAGTTGTCAGTGTGCCCCCAGGGGCTAATTGGTCTCCTGGAAGGATGGTGCTAACTTGGGGGGCCAGTTCTCTTTTGGGTGGGGGCAGGCTGGACATTCAGCAGCTATGTGGAGGGATAACATCCAGCATTGTCATCATGACTCTTCCCACACTGTGTCAGGTAGTGGGGGGACCAATGGCAGAGATGGCTAAGATCAATGCCATTTTGTGTATGTACTTGGTGTTCAGCGTCTCTTTCATGGTAGGAGGTTACAACTGGAACTGGGATTTCTGGGTGGGATTGCTGAGAGGCCCAACTAAATCATTTTCCAAATTGTATGTACTAGTTCAATGAGTCATGCACAAGAGAGTCTGTTTCTCTACAGCCTTCACCAGCACGGTCTAAGGTAGACACAGCAGCAAGTGCTTTCGGTGCAACTTCGTAATGTCCAGCCAGTTATTTTGGCACAACGGCTCATTCAGAGGAGTCAGATGAACTTGTTTTGTGAATGGAAGACAGGTAAGTTTTCCCCATTATTTTTTCTAAATTTATGTAGCAAGGAGTTAACATTTCTAATGTGCAATATGAACATTTTGACACATTGTGCCCATCCCCATGTACCCATTCATGAGCCTCTTGTCCCCCATATTCCAGTTCCTGCCCAGCTGGCCAAACCATTTGCTGCTATGCATATATACCCTAACCTTGGGCCACTCTCTTTTCTACATAGAATCGATAACCAGGTGCAAAACCCAAAACACTGCCCATTGGGAAAATATCCCCTAACCACCTCTGAGTGGGTCTGTAGTGCAGTGACTGCCTGTATCTGGCTTGTATGCACATACTGATTTGTGAATGAAGCTTGGACTTTCTCCAACCAACCCATTTGTGAGCCACGCTCAGACATTTTCCTTCTCCCTCAGCTTGTCCTAAGGGATCTCTTACACCACTGTGTAGCCATGGGTATAAACTGCAGGAGAGATGCTCACACAACAGCAGCAGATAACTGGGTTCCTTCTGATCCCATTTGTGCTTGATTCTAGATGGACCACTTCCATCATACCTTCTTGCTTCTGGGATCGCTTGATTACATTTTAGCAACATCTTCAAGTTATTTGTGTGCATTTTAAAATTTAAGAAGCACGACATTGTTGCAGACAAAAGGAAGGATGGAAGTGATAGCACTTTTCAGGCAGATGACCAAGGTTCCAGAGTGAGAAACAGAATGGGAAATTCTGATGCTAAAAATGGGGGTCGTGAGACAACGCTGGAGAGATGGTCTGGGGCCAGATCACAGAGGGAACATAGGCCATCTTGGAGACTTGGGATACTTTCTGGTGGAATGAAATGGAAGCCACTGAAGGGTTTTAAGTAAGGGTGAACATAATCTCATTGTGTGTGTGTGTGTTTATCCATAAACTTGTATCTTTCACTTTAATCTGAAGAACAGTTTAGACGGGAAGCAAAATGAATGTAGGACAGTCATAAGGAGACTACCACATGGGTTAGAAATAATGGTGGCTTGGAACAACACCG